ATCAGCGTGCTCAACTACACAATCCTATACAGAACATGGTTTAATCCAATCAATATCCCTCTAGCAAATGAAATGTTCCTAGCATTACAAGATTGTAAAAAAATGAATCTGTAATTTATTGTCTTCCATAATATCAATTCATTAGTTGAATCTAATCTTATTCCATTCTTAGTTAAGGTATAAGTCCTTATTAGACTTCAGCTATCTTTATCCCTTTTAACAGGATGATTGGTAACATATTCAATAATACCGCAAATGATCACAATTAACCAAACGCCTGTTGATCACACAAGAATAATTATAAATCATAACGGAATGCATAACAATGGCAAATAGTAAGATGTTTTGACAACACAGAGTATGAAGTCATAAATTCCTGTTCAAGATAAGTTCTGAATTGTCATTGAAAGTGAAGTCGCTTTGAAAAACAACGAAGAGTTGATTAGTTTATGAAATATCTCTAGGACATGAAAAAAAACGTTATGTAGGACTAGTATCTGTCGGACCATCTTATGACTCTTTGATTAGAGTCGTAGAGATGGTGCAATTCAATGATTTCAGATGTTATCAAACATCGCTCACAATAGTAGCCGATAGTGGTATTCATGTAGGTTTCTTTTACATAAAAGCGAGAGGACCGTTTTTTTTTAACCGGAAGAATCCTTATGAATTAGAATTTTTTTTTAAAACTGATTTGTCTCCTGTCTTGATCTATTCTTGTCCACTGATTTAAGTGAATGTTTTCTTTATTGTTTTAATTATATTCTTTCTGCTTCTATCTCTTAAGTATTTTATTTTCCTATTTGTGTACCACGTACTTATCTCTGTGCCTAGTTGTACTATTATTAATTCAAGTCAATAAATAATAACGTATTATTGTTTGAGCCTTGTCCCATGGATTTTCGTCTCCGGTGGTAAGGTCCCAATAAATATGGAGCTAATGCAAAAATTACTCACAAAATCATTGTGTGTGACCGGCCTCAAGCACTTGTCCCTTAGGTACTGCAGTCATACTCTCAGATCACTTAAACCAACTGTAACCCAATTTCCTTTTCAGGTACCTCTAGAAGAACTCTTCCTCGGTGTGAACAACTGCGAAGTGAAAACCGTGCTTATGCATCTAACATCATTCAAGTTATTGCTTCATTTTACAGGAGACATACATTTTTAATCATTGAAGCCAGGAACATTTATTCATGCTTATATTTTGACATTATAAAAATCAAATTTAATGTCCCTATTTTCACTGTTTATTACGTTTTCTGAATCAATATTTTAAGCAACATTGTGTTGACAAGTTACAAACATATGGGGTAATAAATGCTTTCAGAACAGGGTTTTGTGGAGATTTCAGTAATTTGATGGTTAAATTCATGAATCAATTAAAGCTAGACCATTATGGAATACCTGGAAGCACTAGACGGCCGTTTCGTTCCAGCATGGAACTCCTCAGAAGTGCGCATCCACGATCTCATCCCGCGGGATTCGAAACCAGGAACTATAGGTTTTTCAATTTTTACAATATTGAATGAAATAAAGATTTCTAACTGATTACTGACGTGATGAGTAATACGGTAATCAATTAAAGTGCGAATAACACAAGAGATCGATTTTTTCTCAATCATTTGTAACATGTAATCATATCTTTAGAGGGACAAGTACATAATGTATTCAACTAGTGTTCACTGTTAGTTGTAGACGTCTAATGGTATGAAATTGTAAATGTGTTAATTAATTATTGTTAACTAATACTCAACTGTATTTATACAAATGTAACTATGAATAAACCGATAGGCCCTGGGTTCTAATCCCACGGGGTGGGGTTTGCGCGCAATAACAAGGATCCTGAGTTCAAGTTTCGCATGTGAGATCGTGGACGCGCACTGCTTAAGAGTCCTATACTAGGACGAAATGACCGTTTAATGCTTCCAGGTTTTTAATGATGACCTAGTTTAGATCAACTCATGAATTCAGAGATTAAAATTACTCATAATAAATTTACCATTCGTTTTTGAAAAAATGATCATAACAACTACACTAGAAGAGAAGTAATAGATTTCTTAGAGGGAGCCTTCAAATGCCCTGACAGTGAGGAGGGCCCGCCCATTCTCTCGAAATGCTCTTACACGGCCACGCGTATTTAGCATCTGACAGAGAAGTTCTACTCATGGCCTTCTCACACTAAGGGTGTTGTTTACGAACTTGAGAGGACGAAAAGCAAATGTCCGACGCTTTATCCGGGTTGGTGGACATGGAGGGTCCACCTAGGGGAGTTGTCAAACTCTCATTCCAAACCCGTTGTACACATGGGCTCCAGTATCCTGAGGGAACAAATGGCGTATGAATCAATCGTCGGTCACCGGTTACCATAGGACTGCACCTCCTAACGTTGCTCCACTATCTTGTGGATTAGACCTTACATTTTCTATGATAAAATTGATCAATTCAATAGTAACTATGAGAAAAAAGTACATTTCTAAGTTCTCGACGTAATTTTGTTGTCTTTTTTTTCATTTTTTTTCTTCAAAAAGACAAATGACCTTATTGAAATGATTGGGGTTATACATTATAAATGATCGATTATGGAGTGTTTTATTCATGACTGATTAGATAATAATGATAATAGAAAAGAACTTCTTTATAATTCATATGGGATTATTTGAGGCAGAAAAAAGAAGGATAGTTTAACAGATAGTCATGTCTTTCACTCTCACTCTCACTCACCCTCACTCTCTGTCATGAGCGCACTCACTCTTGTAATCTAATTGTATTCATGACCTATAGTAATTCAATAGATATAAAAAAATCCCAGAATCTTATTATCATCAACTTATATCTGGGTTGTAGAACAAATAAAAAAGAAGTATTTAAGATTGTCAAATGTAAATTAGTTAATTATATCAGGTCAATCTATATTAGTTAAATGTAAAGTACTTGTCAGCTGTTAGACTTTAACACCGTTGGATGCCGGCAGGCTCAGTGGTCTATAGGTTAAGTGCTCTGGCACGAAACTGGTAGGTCCTGGGTTCGAATCTCTCTAGGCCGGATCGTGGATGCTCACTGCCACGGAGGTGTCCCACAATAGGACGAAACGGCTGTCCAATGCTTCCGGGTCTTCCATGGTTGTCTAACTTCTATTGAATCATGATCTCAACTACATAAAATTGTTAGACTGTTTGTAATTATACGATGATGTGAAGATTATAGTATTTCATAGTTTATATTGTGTATTAATCTTAGATAGACAACTATTGAAAGACATTATGTGGTTCTTGTTGACTAAATTCAAGGGATAGTTCTCGGAGTTCTAGTTAAGAAGGAATGACAAATAGAGCTAAATCATATCAAGTATGAAACAGACATCAATAATGATTAGGGATTATCAAATTCAAACATGTAAACCAGTGCATACTGGCTTAGTGGTCTACAGATTAAGCGCTCATCATCGGACTTAATGACACCAGTTTAAATTTATAGTGGACTGACAAAGAGTTCGAGACAGGCACAAAGGGTGAGACTTTAATTTATGAACAAACCAATCACATTTAAGATACCAGGTTTTTGGCGGGAAATTCATTCACTCATTTAGCTAAATAACGTTTTGGAATTATAGCTTATTTTAGTTTATGCCTTTTGTGTCCTACTGTAATTCTGTATCGATGATAAATCTGGGCTTCATATTTATGTGTTTCTTACGGTGTGTAAAAAAATGTTATTGTTTTATGTAAACATTTTGTAACGTTTTGATCTGATTAAAAATCCAGTCAAAATATCAACAATGAAATGATCTAAGACGTTACAAATTCAATGAAAGTGTACCCACATTGAACAAGTGAGTGGTTATTTGTTCTCATGAGCCAGGTAAATCATTCGAACCAAAGGGAATAGATTTCAAATCCACAGAGTGAATATCGATCCGGATATAGCTGACGAGTCCAACATAGGACGAAACATATATTAGATTTCACTAATAGTCATATCCTAATTTATTTTTCATAAAGAGTGTATCTCGTTTGGATTGTTAAAATTAAAAAAGTTAAAACATTCGCACTTTTAACATCTTTCTACCATTGACACTGAATAGTTATAACTGAACAGTTGTATTGTATGTTTAGATCTTCAGATTGATGTGTAAGACTGTAAGTTATCAGTCTCCTATTGGCATATGTCCATACAGTGAGTATTGTCTCGATATTGCCTTAATCCACAAGCATCCTAAGCAAAGATGGATAATGGTTAGCAATGTAATCCAGAACCCGCATTTCGTCCTATTTAGGACTTATCAGATGGATATATCTGACAATTAAAATAAACAATACAAAAATGAATTAAAACTTCACTCCATTTCACAAGCAAGTGACCGTCTGAACTCAGTAGCTCAGTGTGTAGATAGATGTCGTTTGAAATGAATGATAATGGATTTGAGTTCCAGCGTAAACATTAACTCAATGATGTAGCAGGTACATCCCGATGATGAATTTCATATAGAACGAAATGTGAATCCTAGATTCTCTTTCTAACCATCATCCATCTTTACTTATAAACAGTTAATTGTTATCAAGTTTACAATTATACGATTATTCTTGCATATTATTATTATTAATAATACTCAAGTCTATACAATTGTTAATTAATTTTAACAGTTGAGATCATGACTCAATTGAAGCTAGATCACCACAAAAACCCTGAAAGCATTGAAAGGCCGTTTCGTCCTATTGCAGGACTCATCAAGTAGTGTTCATCAATCGACTCATGATTTCAACTATTAAAATGACTATAATATCCAAGTCTATACAATTCTTAATTAATTTTAACAGTTGAGATCATGACTCAATTGAAGCTAGATCACCATAAAAACCCTGAAAGCATTGAAAGGCCGTTTCGTCCTGTTGCAGGACTCATCAAGTAGTGTTCATCAATCGACTCATGATCTCAACTATTAAAAAACTGACTATAATATCCACAAAAACCCTTACGGATATTACATAATGATAACTTACTTTCTTTATATATTTGTTCACATATCAATTGATTATAAGTAGTATTCATCATATCAGATTTATTAAAATCAATATTTCTTGATAATCTTTGCATAGTAATAATTCCAGTCATATTGTTATGTTATCATTAAAGATCCAATTTTCTATGAATAAACGTGTTTATGATCAGATCCAATTCCTAATTCATTGAAGAATTCATTGCGGCTTGGGGGGGACAGGGGGTTAGTTACATTCCTTGAATCATTATGAATATCAATTATAAATATTATTTTTCATTACACAATTTATTTAGATCTATACAAATTAATGAACCAATCAGATTAATTTTTTTTTAAAAAGAAATAATTATAACATGTGCTATGATAAATAATCAGCCAGTAGATGAATTCCTTCAAGGTTATTGGAAGGTTTTTCAAGGTTAGGGAATATTTTTTTCAAAAAAATAAAAAAAAAACATTTAAAAAGTAGTTTTGTAACGGTATTATTGTGAGTTTGTTTTTTCTTATTGTAGGACAGTAAAGAGTAAACGTAATGGAAGAAGAGGAACAAGCCCAAGGTAAGGTGAACGTGAAGAGCAATGAATAAAACTATTTTGTAATAAGCAAACATAGATAGTGGCTAGCAGTGGAATCCAGGACATGCGTTTCGTCCTATTTGGTGTTCGTCAGTTTGATGTACCTGCATCTCAGAATTGATGTTCACTTTGGGACTCGAACCCAGTACCTTTCGTTTCAAACGCCATCGCGTTATCCACTCAACTACTGAGTCCTGTTACCACATGCTTTTGCGATGAGAGTGAAGTTTAAATTCACTTTGTATTGTTTGTTTGAATCTTTCCATCGATGTGTTAGGACTGCAACTGGTCAGTCTCTAATTGGCATATGTGCATACTGTGCGTATTGACTCGATATAGCCTTGATATAGCAGTCCTAAACATCGATGGGAAGATTCAAACAAGCAATACTTAATTAATAAGTCATTTTATTATGTAACAATCATTTCATTTACATAATTGTTATAAGTGGTATTTGACTATTATGACTGAGTTGCCAATTGTTAAGGAACCGCTACAGTTACCATGACGTGAAAATATCAACATAAAGACTGTAACAAGTGATGATTTATTAACCTCAAAACAGGACGACGATCTTGATTGCAAAATATCAGAAGTTATAATCAAAATCACATGGTGCATGTCATGCTCAGCTTAGTTTATGTTAATTTAATACAAGCATGTTGTATCTTCAATATCAAAATAACGAAAAGAATGTAAATTTTCTTTTTAATATCATCATACCAATAATCTTTCCTTTATGACAGACTATCCGATTGAAGGATATACTTAAATGTGTAAGGGAGAAGTCCCATTAAAATATCAAAAATAGTTCTGTTAAGTAGAACTTTATATGAATACAACGTAATAAAAATCTTCCAGTTGCTTTAGTTAGTCAGTCAGTCAATCAATGCAAAGACTGGCACAAATGTGTATTGACATGAATTGTGACGGTGCATTACCACAACTATATGGAATTATCACGATGAATGGTAAACAAGTAAACAATAAACTACAGTAGTAATGATAAAAATGAAGAAAGAATACACACACATAAGGTATTTATGAAGAGGTCAATCAATTAAATGTAACGTAAAACCTAGCGCATGTGTACATCGGTTCAAGTTCATATACCCTATTAGCATAGCAAGATGAAATTGATAAAGCTAACCCTAGACTAGTGAGGGTGTGGTGTATGCTAACAGACATAAGTAGTATGTAACATCAATCGAAAGTTAAAATGGTTGACAGTAGAATGCTAAGAAGATCGAATTGAAGAAAACAGAAAGCGAAATAAAAAAGAATTGAGAATTGGAAGGATCATACAGAATACAAAGGAAAATTGATGGAAGATTTGTAAATGAAGCCTTTAATGTATGGTTCTCATATTTTATCATTATCAATGAACGTGGAGGATCTGATGCAGATGTAAAGACGAGGATTGAGAAGGTGTTATATCTAGAGCTTTAGAGTCTTACTAAACTGCGTACTACCAGACTACTTGAACGACCGAACCCGCAACTTCCTAAGAGAGAAGATAGAAGACTAGTAAATAGGAATGTCATTCCCAACACAATGTCAAATATAGTACAAAAATCTCATGTATTTATAGATTTTGGCTGAAAGTAAATCATCATTTCGGACAGACAGTCGGCCCAAAGGGGATCCTTCTTATTCATCCGATAGGGAAGCTTCATTTCAACATTCTAGAATGTTCCTCTGGTGGTGATTGGATGGGATGTCTTTGGTTCTTTCTGGGCTTCTTGAGGCTTTCCTGAGTTTGATAACGAGCCATTCTTACAGAAAGCAAGAGCCTCATTCTTACAGTTGAAGAATATATGGGACTCAAAGCAATTATCGACCAATATCAGAGTCATAATCTTTAATACGAACAACAACACAGGTCTACTGTACGGAGGTGAAATGTCGAGAACTACCACAGACATTATCAAAAATTTACAAGTATTTATAAAAAGTTGTTTACGTAATATACTGAATGTCCGTTGACCGGATAAAAATCAGCAACAGCCTACTATGTGAGAAAGTAAACCAGGTTCCATTTGAAGAGGAAATTAGGAAAAGACGTTGGAAGTAGATAGGATATACACTATGGAAATCTTCAAACTGCATCACGAGGTAAACACTAACTTGGAATGCTGAAGGGTAACATAAAAGAAGATGATCAAATAATACACTGTGTTGGGAATCGGAAGCAGATACGAAAAGGATGAATAGTGAATGAAAACAACTGGAATTAATTGTCCAGGACAGAATTAGATGGGGGAATACTGTGAGCGTAAGTGAGTAAGTCTCATATTTTATGAGGATATTTTGTAATTTTGTGGTAAATAATAAATTTGTTGTCTCCACTTGTGTTCTTGTTCACAACAGGGATGGTATTAGTATCGCTGTGAAGTAAAAATGTAATTATCGCAGATACGATTTGAGGATATCAGTAAAGAAAAATCTGTACCAAATTCAGAAACTAAGGATCTACGGGGAAGACAAAGAACGAATGCATTTGTGCTATTGGAAATAATCCTGAGGCATGCTATATTAAGTCTCCAATCACTGGTTATGATAATCCAGCAGACCCTAACTACTTGTCTACACCTACCTTCATTACTCAGTTTAACAACCAATGTCTGCATGAACTTATGCTGTGTGTTAGTTTGAGCCTCTCCAGCTTTCTTCCAATGTACTTCCACTTCAGCCATCATTTGTCAAGGTATTCAGTGACTGAACATACGTAATACACGTCCTAACCATCCTAGTTGATAAAGGTTCACTGTCTTATCAGTTAGTTTCGGAGACCTATCTATTACTCTGCGTCTAACTTTAGAATTGTTTACTTGATGGTCTAAAAATATACAAGCAACTGTTTGAAGACACCTGAGCAAAAAATACCGGAACTCGGGATTTGAAGCAAAATAGACAGTGTGTACATTACTTAGAGCGTCCAATCATCGATCACTATTATCAGGCTAACTTCAACCTGACAATCCACACCTACTGACATATCTCCAAGCATTAGTTAATAACTTCATGAACTAATACCATATTTTGCTTAAATAGATCTTAATTTTCTCTCAACTTAATTTCAAACTAGAAAACATTATTCTTTGAATTATGGCAGTAATTCAGCATACATAGCATGTACCTATTTGTTTCTGATAAGTCCTGCTAACTGAACGCTATACTCAGTTCCTAAGCTAGTCTCGTAACCCCCAAGCTAATTCTACACAGCGACTTGAACACGAGAGAAAAGGCGCAAAATATACGAGAAGCACTTTACTCCGAAGGTTCATTTATGTATAGAAAATATAGGGTTTTTATAGTATTTTAGAAGTTCTTGGGTTTTCATGAAAATTCTAGAATACTACTAAACATCGTAGCAGTGTAGTAATCAGCCAATCAGAATCTCTACATATGACTTTTCACTTTCTTGATGTTTCTAGCAAAACTTCTAATCAAACGCTGATTGGATAAAATGCTTCTTAATGTTTCCTGAGACTTTTTTGTCTTTTACGAGAAGTGTTCTGGATCACCCCAACAGTTTCTATAACAAACACAGTATATCATAGTGTTTATTTATTAGATTTTCTAGTTGTCCAGTGATTCCAGGTATTCCACGGCGGTCTAGCTTCAATTGACTCATGATCTCATGATCATGAGATAGATGACTAGCATAGTTGAAGTTGATATTGGTGTTATGGATTCAACTGAAAGGGCTAGGTGGACAAATAATCAATAAGGGCTCTAGGCTGCCCATACAGGTCGAACGTCATTGGTTTAACGCAGTACTAAGATTAAGTAAGTCGCATTTCGATTGGTGAATAAATTACGTGATAATCAGCTGGGCCTAAAGTCACAGCAGTTTCGTCCTAATATGGGACTCCTGAGCAGTGCGTCTCCATTATCACATGTGAGGGATTTAAACTCAGGACCTTTGGTCACATGCCCGAACTCTTAACCTCCAGATCACTGAGCTGACATCCAACGGTGTAACTTTCTAACTTCAGTCGATCCATAAAATTCGGTGAAGACTCTTCGAAGAATTCAAATTATATTTCAAATTCATTTAACCATATACCAATACATCAACAATACTAATCCACACTCTAAAAACAGATAGAGAAAACTTACAGATAAGGCAAGATTGATAAAACCCCAGGTTTATTCAGTTATATACCTAATAAATTCAATGTTTTATTATCATAAATGGTTTTGTGGAGATTTCAGTATTTTCATAGTTGAAAGCATGAGTCGGTTAAGTGCTCTGGCACGAGACTTGTAGGTCCTGGGTTCGAACCATGCAAGGCAAGATCGCGGATGCTTACTGCCACAGAGGAGTCCCATAATAGGACGAAACGGCCATCCAGTGCTTCCAGGTTTTCTTTGTTGGTCTAGCTCCAATTGACTCATGCTTTCAATTATGAAAATTTAATGTTCATTAATAATAGAATTCTATTACAATGAACAATCATCATTTGAATATAATACAATGGTATCTTATCATTGAATAAAAGTTCAATGAATGCAATAATAAACTATTGTTT